GTTTAATTTTTGGGGGGAACCCGGAAGATGGAGGGGGGGGATAACGTTAAACGAAGTTTCAACTTCAAGCGGCCTAATTGGAATATAACAAATTTCTTTAAAATAACAGTCTGGGTCATTCCCCCGTTGTGGATGTCATTCCTTCTATAAAAATAATAAATGTATTATCGTTACTGCAATCTAAACTTAAATTATATTTGATTTTTGGTTTCAGTCATTTTTGGCTACCAAATAGGGTTAAATGGTTTTAGTCATTTTTGGGTGTCTGAAGTTAATTTTCCTGTTAGCGTTCTTGGTAAGGTAATATTCTAGCAACTTTTTTGTTTACTCAAATGTAATGCCCATTATTACAAAGATCGTTTATTGATAGTTTGTGAAAAAAAAAATCTCTTATATATCTAGAATTCTCTTAAGATCCTCCAAAAATTTTTTTAAAAAAATTTTATCATGTCTAACAAACGATCACTCTCTTCACTAAAAAATAATATTGTTTCACAAACCTATTTTGAAACTAAAATTGGTCGACAATATGAATCAAGAATCAAATTTTTATCACGTATGTTACTTATTTCATAATAGTAATTTGATACGTAGCAATTTAATGCTTAAAATTATTTTTTTATCGTAAAAAAGCAAGAGACATTAAAGGACATTGTAAGGCATTCGATGCAGACAACCTAACGTGTGGTAATGGTTGCCGTGTTAAGTCCCATATGACCTATCCACTTTGTTCTAAACATGACAAACCAAAATACAAGGCAGCTATCAGAGCAAAAGAATATCTAAAGCCACTGGTTGATAGTATGTCATTCACAGATGAATTTGTTAATAGCCTATCGACGTATATTATGGAACGAAGCATGGATATCCAAAGGCCCATTGAAAGTGGGATGTTTTATGTACTACGAAGAATTGGCAAGTATTTTGTGAATGTGTACCTTGTATTAAAAGGATCCATTTAATATGAAACATCTGTTCTTACATCATTTATTCTCAAATTAGATGTTAAGGATTGTCCCGATGAAATCTTTAAAATTGGAGTAGACTTTGGAAATGAAAATTGCAATTTCGAAAGTAGGATTTCCAAGCATGAAGAAGGCCCTTGTGCTGCGACTTTTTGCGAAGCATATATGACATCTGCGCACCAGGATTGTCGACTTGTAGATGGATTTATTAAAAAGTTGTTACAAAAGTATCAAGTTAAATTCCAGTGTAATTGTAACTCCAATCATGTCGAGTACTACAAAGATGAAGCGCTTTCTATCTTTGAGCAAGCTGAAAGATGGGATCGTGAGTGTTTTATCAAAAAAATATATTACTGGGCTAGTACATTAATAGAAATTTACAATGCACGTACTGTATGTTGTTACAAAATATATTTTTTCTTTTATACTATCTTCCATTAGTAATACGTAGTAAATTATTACGTAGTAAATAAGTAATAATTATCGTAGTTATTTATTAAACTTTCGCACATTACTATCTATTTTTATAGAGTTAAAAATTCGATTTCATTTTTCGTAATGCTTTTCTTACTATTAGTTGATCTTTTTTTTGAATTTTTAGTAGTACCTTTCAATATATTGCATTGTACCCCTTAAATTTGTAATAAAATTCAACAATTTAATATTTACTACGTATCTGGGCTATTTGTGGCTGTGCATTCTCCCCATTGGGTATTGCATGACTTCTACGTATTAAAAAAAAATAAAAATAAAAATCAAAAGCGGCTTAAAAGTAATTTTATATAACATATAATCTATACCTTGTTAGGGTGATACGGTTTCTAAAAAAAAAAAAAAAGTGTGCGGTTAAAATCAAAAATCAATTTATGCAAAACCAACGTTATATCCAGTTTTCTGCTTATTTCGGTTATGTGGTTTGTAATGTAAGAAGCAAAATTGGATGGCATTCTCTACTAGAAGAGTTTACGATTTGGCGAGTATCTTTTTCTAACTAGTTTACTGCTTTATTCCACTAACACTAACAACTTATATCTTTTAACGGGTTCTTCATTATGTTCTTTAGTTTTTCCCGGGCACCAAAGATAAATAATTTCATATATTTACATGTACTGTTATATCTTGCTAACACCTGTTAATTTATTCTCTTTTTTTTTTTGCTCTAGATTTTCCCACCGTTTTACACTATCCGATTGTTCCCAATCTTGCCACACTGAAACCTTATTGTTGTCATTTCGATTCGCACTGGTCTCGCGATTGTCAGGTTGTTGGGGACGATCATGCATGTTTCATCCAATTTCGGATGCATCGATCGTACTACGTCGGGTCACAATCTCTTAACCATGGTCAATAATTACCCGTGACAATAACATGTATCAGCCACTTACCATCTGTTAACTTTTTTTTACTTAATATAGATTTTCTATCGCTATGATCGCTTACGTATAATAACCCGATCACTATATCACGGGAGGATTAATTAATAACGTATGTGATTATCATTAAGTGAAATAAAATTAAGTAATATTGATACGCCTTTTGTATGAGAACTCCTATTTTTGAATTACTTTAATCTTTACTATTTAATTATATTTTATTCGTGCTAATTTAGTACATTAAGAACTTTAGTTAATCTAAATATTTAAAATAATTCATTAAATTTCATGAGCATTTTCATGAGCATTCAATTTAATGTGTGATATAGAGAATATTTATTTATTCAGGCATCAGAATAATCTAACTTCATGGATACTTACTATAAAAACTTTTGTTAATCTAATTATATACCTAATTTCATTTATTCGTGTTAATTTAGTACGTAATATAAAAAACTATTAAACTTAATGAATATTTACTATTTAATTCCACTTATTCGTAATGATGTAAAGAATATTTATATTCTAAGCATTTAATAACCTATTAAATTCATAAATATTTTGGATTTTTATTCGTTCTTGCTTATTTAAATGCACTACACCATAATTTATTTTCAAAATCCAGCATAAGTATATACAATACTAACCTTCCTAAATGTAATTTTGTTATTTTATATATGAGGTTTCTCTGTATTTAATAAATTTTTAGGATCTCTTGTAATATAGGCAACACCATTAATAAATATTTATTAATCAATTGATTATATCATAAAGATCAAATTTTATGTGCATATGCGTTTAAAATGAACAGTACATATTATCTCGTGCGAAATAACTTTTTAGTAATTAATAACTTTATTAAATGTAAAGTTTTTACTAAAAATAATCAAACTAAATTCTCTTTTTACTATATACGTTACTTCAATATATAAAAACAATGTCAACTATCATGTAATTAAACTAACCAACCATTTTACACAATTGGTATTTGTGAATCGCTTAATAAAAAAACAAGTGCATAATTACTCCAAAAATAAAATATAAAATAAAATAAAACCGTAAATGCAAAGCAGTTATGTATTAATATCCATTATGTATTACAACTTTGGTGTAAATTTTCGGTACGTTGTGAAAGTGCGAAAATACTCCGGGATCTAAATAACACAAATTCTACAATATAACACTACACTCTATAATTACTAACTACTCTAATTCAACCCTAATAATGGTAAGGCTTCGATCGAGACGTGTAAGGACTTGGTCCGGGTAACTATGGTCAATTAGAGCCCTAGACTACGTCACAGGTCTCGTAGTACGAAATCACCGGGATTTGATTACTAATTCCTACCTTTACTATAGATTTTGCTTATCGGAGGGAATTAGTAGAACCAAACACTTCTATTAAAGAACTTGGAAGGTTTCTAACTCTAAGAGTTTTTTTTTATTGAAGTGCAAAGCGGGTCTTTTATACATTTACATTACTAGTGCGTACATTATGAATATATTCACCAAATTCAACATATTCGACATATTAGACAAATACAACATATACGAAGTTGTCACGTGACCGTTCTGGACAAATTGTGGACAATTGTGGACAATTTTGAACAAAAAAAACAAATCTAAATTATTCAAAATTTTATTAAGATAATCTATCTTAATCTTTTAAGTAAAAATATTCAGAACCATAAAAAATATATATATTGTCTTTTAAACTAATTTATTAAATTTTAAAGCCTAAATATTCTTTGGACAATTATAAAAAGACTGATTCAATACCGTTCTATGGTATTATTTGCGATAATATGGTTAAATTTCTTTGTCTGATCGCTGATTTAAACATAAGACCTTACTCTTTATTGTCGTAGATTTTAGATTTGTTACGTGTGTCAAGTTATCATTTGTTCTATTCAAGGTTCTACCTGAATTATCAATTTGTATATTATGTCACGTAAAATTTTTACCAGCGCCGATTTTCCTTTTTGTTAATAAACTATTTAATTTCGTATTCACTTGATTTGGATTTGCTTAAATATGACCTTGTTGTTATAACGGTTTACTCTGTTGATTGTATAAAACTGCGATTGGTGTTCAACACATTTACGGTTATATCAGAAATGGAGTGCAACGAAGAGTTTACTGACTGGACTGGCAAATGAAATGGTGTGTCTCTCTTGTATCTGATTGGATGACTGTTCCTCGTAACTCCGTCTTGGATTTCTATATTTGTACGCATGTTTCAAGAAATTTCCTTGTCAGGTCATCGATTTAACGTTATTAAATATAAAAACTTACCGTTACTACCAATATTTATTATCATGGTTTTTAAATTTGTGATACGCGTAAGTTATATATACCTTGTTATTACCTGTTGTATTCATGGTTCTACCTGTACAGTATTATCAATTTGTGTATTATATCGCATAAATTTTTCTAGTTTATAATTCATACCAACGCGAGCTTTCTCGTACTTGATTTTGTTTCACAAAAAAAAAAAAAAAAAAAAAAAAAAAAAGATGCTTGTTATCAACTCTATTAATATCCCAGAGAAGAATAATCGCATTATTGGTTATATCGATATGAAGAGTGAAATGATGTTGCAAATCATACATCTGATTTAAATATATCAGTTATCGTTATACTGTATACATGTATTCTAGATCTTCACATTATTAATTTCTTTTTATTGACTGTTTAGACGGTAGTCACTAATTGTTAAAGATAAAAGAATGAATTCGAGCCAATTTTGATGATCTAAATATCATTTTGAACTAGAAAAATCTGCTTTACAACTTTAATTAGTAATGAATTTATTGACGTTCGAATATAACCCTAAGCAAGTTTGTTATTTAAATAATCCAATCAAATTGTAAGGTTATTGTTTATGAACTTTTCGCTGCGCAGTGGATTGGAGGGTGCAATTGCTGTAAAAGGTGAAAAATAAGCATAGTAGCATCTACCATATTTTTTAATTTCAGATTAGCGGAAATGGCAATAAAATCTTTACTCAATTTACTCCCGTTAATCTGCAATTGATAAAAGTAGGGTAGATGATACTGTGCTTATTTTCCACATTTTACGGTAGTGATAACGATTTTCATAGTACGGAATGCAGATTTTAAAATTTAACCAACCAGCACAACTTTATGGAAAATAAGTGGTCGTAGCTCCAGGCTTTTTGAACTCATTAGAAAGACACTGAGAACAATATACAAAAAAAAAATTGTTTTTTTTTTTTTAGAGAAATGAATTTTGTAGATGTGTTTATGAGGATCAGGCTTGGGTGACGTCTAATTATACTAGATCATAATGCTTAAACCAATCTGACTGCTATAATACTAACTGTGATATAATACATAATACACTAGCATTAAAGTTGCAGGTGAACTGGTGAATGCCAATGCGAAACTATCTTCCGTTCCTCGCAGCTATCTTATGATTAACGATCAACTCAATAGATTTAATACAGTGCAAATAATTTATTATTAGCGAAACCTTGCGCTTTATTTTATTTTATTTTTCAGTATCATTTTATTAGACACATTTAAAGCTTAATTTTTATAATTATATTTAAGGATTATGCATCATACTTTAACAGAGAATTAAATACTTTTTTGTTATCTAGAATGATAGATAATAATATCAGCAGCAAATTAAAATGACATAATTTAACGCCAATAAAGCTATCAACAACAATAATAACAATGATTTTAGAAAGTATACGTAATAATATTTATTGTTTAATATGCAGGTTAATAAATCTATATATTATTTCACCAACAATCCACATCTATCCAACACTAACTATAAAATTAACCTAAATAATCGATTACCGAATTATCGTAGTATGGCAATAATAACTTTCTTTTACTTGGTTTAATAATCTAAATATCAATATACAAATGAGTAATAAATTTGTTTAATTATAATAAATCGAATATATTACTTAGCATCGGATATTTCAACATCATCAATGCATTTACTTCCTAAAATATAAATCCAATTTTAAGAAAATAAATCTTGTTACCTTTATTTACTATATTGGCAGATTCAGAAATTTTTTACAATTAATAGCATGTTATTAGTTTTTTAAAACATATAAATAAATGCTATTACCTGGTTTAGGAAGTTCTGGAAGATGCAAAAGTCGACTTGTATAGATAGCTTGTGGATTTGTTTGATAGTTGAGTCGTGCCGATTTAATTCGATCATATGCTGAGGAAGTTTTTGATCTCTTTAATTTGTTTACATAATTCAGTTTCTTTACTTTTCAAAACTTTAAAAAAAACTGTTTAAGGGTATTAAATAATTTTCCAGCAATTGGTCGGTTTTGAGGTTCTGCATCAAAGCATTTATTCATCAGATCCAAAAGTAGTTGAGGAACTTAGCATCTAATTTTAGGTCTATAATCTAAACAAATTTTAATTGCTAAGTCCTTATCATGTAGAATATTATGATATAGAGAATATCCAGTAAAAACCTCTGACATAATTATTCCGAAAGAATAATATCGGATTTTGGAGTGTATTCCTTTCCATTTGTATATAAT